GAGGTGCGGGCGCAACACCAAGGGTTGCGATCCCGTTGCCGGTCCCGGTCCGGTACGGGCGCGACACTGAGGGTTGCGATCCGTTGCCAGACACGAAAAAAGACAAAAAGGAAAAAAAAACAAAAAAACAAGAAGCTGTATATTTTTCATCTTGTGATTTATTTTTAGTTAAGAGAAAGGAAATCTGTTTATAACCCTGTGTGTTGTTTCTAAAAACCACCCTTTCCATAGAGCTGTCGGAAGCTGCCCAAGAGAATCTGTTTCATATATTAATTTTCACTAATGAATCCAGACTTATAATGATAAATTTTGCCCCAGACTGCCTCGGATGAATTAGAGGAAGATAGTTGCAATCAATGTGGCTATTCTTGGCGATTCAAAAAAGGACTCTATAATAGTGTTTCATAACAGATTCAGAAACTCTGTGGTTCTGAATGTTAATACCAGCATCATCAAAAAATATTTATTAGATGGGAAAGCATATTTTTGAATTTAAGAGGACTTCCAATATTTCCTGTCACCATCAATAATTGGAATCTGCATTTCCTCCTTTATTCATTCAATAAATATCTAACACCCATTATGTTCATGGCATCGCATTAGACTCTGGGGGACTTACAAAGAACTTAGCAGGCTGGGCTCTGCCCTCAAGGGAGAAATGAAAGAAACAGTTACATCTAATTGTTTTTTAACACTGAGAGTGTTAATCCCAGCTTCTGAACATCTTCATCCACAGGGGAGAAGGGCCCAGGGAGCCAGTGCAAGGCCAGTGCCCAAGTGGCCAACGAGTGTTTGTGCCTTGGCCTCCCATGTTCTCGGGGTCTGTTAGGCCAGTGAGTCTCAGGGGCTGCGGCTCAGGTCCCACCAGGGCCAGTGAGGGTTATTCTCTGATGGGCTAAGGTCTGATCCAGCGCAGCTTATTAGTTTCTTTAGATTTTCCTGCAATGCCGGAGACTATTTTAACATGCTAGTGAGACCTCCTAAAACATAGTATTTGTAGACTAAAATGAGCACTTACTAGCATTTCCTTGGGCTGGCCAGCTAGCTCATCTGGTTACTAACATTTCCTGAAGGAGCTCTTGATCAGCCTTCTGCCTGCAACATTGCAGAGCTGCTGCAGGACATGTGTGCACATAGATAGTAGCAATTCCACCCGAAGACGGGAGGCTGGCTGAGGAAGGTAGTCCAGGGTTTTCATCTGTCTGTCCCAGAGGAGGTTCCCTATAATGTGCATTGCTTGTGTAAGGCATGACTGAGATGTACAAGAGCCGTGAGTTTAGGCCACTATTCATTTAAGGCCTCAAAACTCTGGAAGAAGGTAAGTGTAGAAGGTTGGCAGGTTGGAGAGGATAGGGGAAATCCTTGAAGGCTCCCATATTTATATTCCAGCAGTTTGTATGATTTGGACCGTGGCCAGATAGTCATTCATTAATTCGTTCAACATATATTTATTTTAGCATTTGTGTGCATAGCATGTGTTGGGGAAGTCGGGGGAGCCCATGAGGCAGTGCTTCTTAAATGCATCTGCACTTTAGAATCACCTAGGGGACCTCTCAAACTCTCCCAAGCCTGGGCCACACTACAGAACATCACACTCTTCATGTATGGAACACAGATATCGGTATTTTGGACAGTTCCTGGGGTTCCAGTGTACAGACATGTTGATGAGTCACTGCCATGAGGAGTTTACAATATAGTTTTAGATAACACACCCAGAAAATTCAAAGATGATACAAGACGGCTGTACAGAAATCTCGCAGAGCGGGGTGAGGGATTCAAAACTCTGTGCTGTGAGAACTGCTCACTACCTCTGGAGGAGGAACTCCCCGTGGGGATTAGGTGGTAGGAACACGTAGCCAAAAGGTGCTGGGCTTTGACAGGTGTGGGAGAGAGAGAGGAAGGTGCTCACTTTGACCTTGAATTCAGGCAAGTCGAGGGATGACCGTGGGTCATGGTTTTGGAATTGTTGGTGGAATGGGCCAGTATATCAAGCAGGGGACTTTACACTGCCATTAAGTGGATGAATGTTTTTCTTATAAAAGACTAACTACTGGTAATCTGCTGGTGTTTTTCTTGTGTGTATGTGGGCTGAGAATGATGAGGTGAAGCAGATCCCTCAGGATAGAATGCTCAGCTTCACTTCTTGACTCTCTTGCTCTCAGAGTTGCTCCCTGCCCTCTCAACGGCCACAGTGACTATCCCTGTGTGTGCATATCAACACACAAATGAGCTATTTCATGTGGGCAACTCAGTACCCCAGGGTCTTGTGGAGCAGTGAGCTATTGCTGCGCTCAGGGTGGGTGAAGGTACTTGACCTTGGCCCCTCCTGGCTGCTCGAGGTGCTTACAGGCCAAGGGCTGCAAACGACCCAGGCAGACCATGTGTCCTCATTTGGTATTCTCAGGACTTGCAGTTTCTAATCAACTTTTTTCTTATTGAGTCTATTATATATTATTTCAGAGAGGGGAATGAAATGCTTTAACACTTAGTAAATTCTTCATGAGCTGCCATCTAAGTTTTTCTTTCTCTTTCCAACCCACAGTGTGCCATGCCGAGCTGAATGCCATCATGAACAAAAATTCTGCCGATGTGAAAGGCTGTAGTATATACGTCGCCTTGTTCCCATGTAATGAATGCGCTAAGCTCATCATCCAGGCAGGTAGGAGCTGGGCCTTTCCTTTCCATTTGTCACATTTGCATTGCTCTCTGCTCATCAGTTGCTCGTTGCAGATGTGTTTGATCTCAAATTGCTATTGTTTAGATCCAAATTAATTGCACTATCAACTTTGCAAGGTATTTCCCATGTTTTGTTTTTGAATGGTGCCAGGTATTCTAAGACTAATTGCATTGTCTGTGATTCTTACCATGTTTTTAATTTAGTTTGCAACTTCTTAAACTGCAAGCTGCCAAAAAAACAACACAGGCATTGCATATAATTACTGTCAATTTACTATTCTCTGACATATTGTGCATAGATTAGTGGGGAGGGAGAGAAATGAACTTCTGTCAGAAACAAGGTCAGCTGGGAGTCTGTATATGAAATTTTAATTTGTATCTAATACATGGTAGATATTTGAGGATCTAAAGATATCTTTGCACATAAATGTCCTAAGATTCAAATGGTACTACTTTAAGTTTTTCTTGTATTACAGTTACCATAAATCTACACCATTGTATTCTGAACATTTCACCTTTTTCAAACTGTCACATCTGAGATTCAGCTACACTTTGTCTCCATAAAACTCTCAGCTTGAGATTTAAAGACTTATCATGTTTAGCCAGATGTGTGGCTTAAAGGGACTGTTTATCACGAGCCCCACAGATCTCAGAGCAGAAGAGGTCTGCCAGCATGGAATCGAAAGCCACGGTTAAGGAGGAGCGTGGGCTGCCTCGCTCTTGCTGCTGCACGATCCTTCCGAATTTTTCCTTGGCCATCCTCCGGGGTGAAGGCAGCAGCAGGTGCGTGGCAAGAGCAGTGTCTGCTCTACACTTCAGCTTCCTTGTCCCTTCATGGGCTGGGGAGGAGCAGCCTTCAGCACAGAGCCCAAGGGATTCCCGGCTTTCAAGTTAGTACTGCCTGATGAGACCAGGAGAGGAAAACAGATCTGCTCTCCATAGAGCTGGCTCGAACTGGTCTGCAGAGCCATTTTGGGGAGCACGGTGGTACTTATCTCTGTGGTATTTATCACAGTGGTATTTATCTCTGAATGCCCGCACCCTCCACTACCTGCCTCCGCTCCCCACCCTCTTAGCCTCTTGAAATTAAGAATAGTTGCCTTGTGAATAAAAAATCTTTGATTACTTGTAGTAAAGAAAATTTGTTAATCAGATCAAGGCTTGAGTATTTGACATGTTTTCACTTCACATTTTCTTTTTTTTTAAATCCATAAAGACTGGAGGGTAGATTAAATATAATCCGCCCTCTGCTGTATTAGAAAGCGGCAGATACTATTTCAGTAACCGAACATTGCAAGCACACTGGAAAAGGTAATTAATCCTAGGTACTACAAGGGCTCCGTCTGCTTCTGCACATCTTTTGCAGTATATATGGCATATACTGATGGGGCTTCCATTGTTACCTTTTAAGGTATAAGAGAAGTTATTTTCATGTCTGATAAATACCACGATAGTGATGAGGCCACAGCTGCGAGGCGCATGTTTGATATGGCCGGGGTTACCTTCAGGTAAGTGGGGAGAACTTGGGGACAGGGGTGATATGAAGGGCTAATGAAGAAACATACTTGACCTTGGTTGATGTTTAATTTCTCCTTGTGATGCCTGACTTCCACACTTTGAAGTGTCTTTGGAACTGCGATGGCATAAGAATCTAAGAATCTAAAGATTATTTTAGGGGTAGTTTTTTTTTTTTTTTGTCTTTTTTTACTGACCGGCAACGGGATCGCAACCCTCGGTGTTGCGCCCGCACCGCGCTCAGCCAGTGAGTGAGAACCGGTCTCCACATGGGATCCGAACCCTCGGCGGGAGCGCTGTCACGCTCCCAAGTGGCACACTCTCCAGTGCGCCACCGGGCCGGCCCTAGGGGTAGATTTTTAAGAGCAGTATCAGAAGTATCTGAAGACAGTCTGTTTAGTGACTGTACTTTAGTATCAGTAACTTTCCAGGGCTTAGAATAATTATTCAAGTAGCAAGAAATTTAAAAATTCACAAGTTTTATAATAGTAACACCAAACCTTTGTAAATTTTGCAAATGTAACAGTTCTGACATAGAAAATTTAGGATGAAAGTAACCTACCAGGTTGAAACACCAGGAATTCTTTTTACAGCAACATTTTAAATTGATATTTGAAGTCTTGGATTTTTATAATCATCTTTGCTAAGATTGTGAGGTATGTTTTACTTGCAAGTGAGCTGGATCACTTTTGAATCATGGCAGAGAATTCTTTTGATACTGTGAAGTATCAAAAAGTATTACAAAGTTTGATGGTGTTTGTGATCAACAGTAATGGTACTATTACTATAGATAACTTGTGTTCATCATTAGGGATGTAGGTTAGATGTAATGAGGCTCAAACTAAACCATTGTCCCTTATGAGACTTAAAACCCAAATTATTTACATACTCTCTTATTCACTGATTCGTGAAAGAATATGTTTAGTCCCCAAATATTTTCTTTTTAATTGTTGTAGGAGTAATATGTAATGAGTAAGAAGTCAATCAGTAAAAAAATATATGGTGGGTTTATTTTGTTTGCATTTTTAGAACATGGTTTTAAAAAATTACTTCTCACTAAAGCTAGTTGATTTTTGCTGTGTATGAGAGGCAAAAGGAAATTTACTGGTTTTTGCTTTAGAGCAACTCTAAGTTGGCTGCAGAAATTTCCAAGGAAACAAGATAAATCTGATGGGAAATCTAGTAATCAGATATCATGTCGTGCAGCTAACTTGTTAGAAATCCTTTGACTCCCTGATAATTCATGAACTCAGATACCTGAAGAACATACAAACCAAGCCACCCCATGCATCTTTTTTGCCTTAGTCTTTTCTGGTCTGCATTTCTCTCAGTATGGTGCACTGTAATTGGCTCCTATAGAGATAAAGTATCAAGCAAATCCCAGGACATTTTTTTCTCCACACAGAAAATATAGGTTAAGTTAAAGTAAACAAATCACTTTAACTACTCACTGGATAATATCTTTGTATATTTTGTTTTTATGTTTAGGAAATTCACACCAAAGTGCAGCAAGATCGTCATTGACTTTGATTCAATTAACAGCAGACCGAGTCAAAAGCTTCAGTGAGTTACATCTCATTAAATCTCCAGAAGATTGGGATTATCCTCTTCTAAGAAGCTACTAATGCCTTTCATCTTGAAGTTACACATAACTTTTTAATAGCCAGTACAGAAGAAGTAGACATCTAAAGAATATAAAGCCTCCAATCTTTTTTACTGTCTCTCCTGTCACATGGAATCTTCATCTGTTTAAACTATTGATTTAGGGTTTAAAATAAGGGACCTGTAGATAGCCTGTCGCACAGGGCTAGAGAGAGGATGCCTCCTCCTCGTGTGTCCTGTTGCTGGGGTGCTGGTTGCTCTGCAGAAGGGCATCAGCTATCTGTCATCCTCTGCATTTCAGCAGCCACTGTTCACTGCTACATGTGCTGGAAGGACAAATAAATAATTGTCGTGTTCTTAGCGGGGATGAGCAGACACACTGATTTGAACATCTGGCCCAAATGAAGCATAACTTGTAGTGCCCTTGGAAAAAAATTAGGACCCAAATGTCAGGCACATGAAAGTATTTGCTGCACAGAGTTGAAGGAAACCCCCACGCACCCACCCAGAAAACCTAGCTAGGCTGGCACATCTGTCTTGACAGATGATAAGCGTAACTGAACCAGGAATATATTCTCTGCTCCTGCCTTCCTGCTACACACAGGGTAGTGGCACGTTGTCCCTCCGGGGGTGGGGCCTCCTGTTGTTTTGGCTTCCTATTTTGGTTTGTTGGTCACATGGAGCTCTTACATTTAGTTTATCTGAATAATAAGTTGTTCCCAGAGGAGACATCCTGTCTCCACTTGTCATCCCCAGACCACGCCCTGCTATGGCGGCAGCTGCACTTGTGTGGATGGGAGGGGGGCATCCACCCAGCCCCTTCCACTGGGTGAGAATATGTAGCTTCCGCGTGCCGGCACGGTTCATTTCCAAGGCCGCCGGTTCATTTCCAAGGCTGCCATACAGCCAGAGAGTAAATGAATTCCTATCCTGTAAGTGAATTGTGAGACATTCCGCACTCCTGGAGGCGCTTTATTACAGATCTGCTGGTGACTGGAGCTCGTGTGTGCTCCTGGCACCAGGCTGTCATCTGCACAAATTCACCTTCCTGATCTCCGGGAGCTGGGATGCATGGCTGTGCCCCTGTCTTTAATCTCATTTAATTTTTATTAAACATGCTCAGTACCTTTGTTGAGAAAATGCTTTTTCTGTCCTAAAGATTATTACCTTTTTAAAGTGCTCTTATATTTTCATGAGTTTTTATTTTGTCTCTGAGGTTTTGTACTCCATATCCTGGGGCATTTTGTAATTTGGCTGCTTACCAATATTATTAAAATCTTATTAAAATCTAGCACACCGAAGTATGTTCATTTTTATGTTGTTATAATTATATGCTTAACTCTCTGTTTCTGTCATTTCCGTATTGTCTGTGAAGCACATTACATATGTCTTAATGCTCAAGAAACTCTTTGAGAGACTAAAGCTGTGGGCTTTACCCAGGGTTAGTGGGTGATGCTTCTTTGTGGAGCAGATTTCACATGTTAAGACAAGGCCCTCTGCCCACCCTCCTTCCTGCGTACCTGTTCCTTGTTGCAGGTCCCGGGCCACCTCCCTCCTGGCATGCTTCAGTCCTGAATTCCATCTTCTGCTGCCCTCTTATCTCTTTCTTTTTCTCAGTCTCTCCTCTTTTTTCTCCTCCATTTTTCTTTTCTCCTTCAAACCCCTTGGCCTCTGTTTGCTTCCAGATGCATAAAAACAAGAGGTGTGTAGAAGAAAGAAATCAGCAAAGAGACTTAAAGACAGAAAATATTTAGATTTTTATGTTGCTGCAAGTTATGAATTGTGAGCCCTGTTAGCAAGGAATGTGCAATTTTTATGTCACATTCGTAAATGTGTATAGGGACTAATAAGCCAGTAGTGCATCTAATTAATTTTAATACTATCTTGTACTTTGTTTTAGTGTTACATTGACTTTTAGTGAAAAGAATTTTTTTCTTTTTCCTCTTTGTGGGAAGGCTAACAAAGAAGGGTCCTGGGTAAGAGAGAAGTCCATGTACTGACAGACAGTGGTTGGGTTTTTTATGGGCTGGTGACACTGTCATTGTGGGTATTTAAGGCTTCCACCTATGAACTGTGTTGCTGAACCTGATTTCCTGGTGACTGTAAGTAATTATGTCTTAGTTTCCGGTACCACTACAGTAGTAGTGGAATTGTCCTGTCCAGAGAATTCTGCAGATGTCAGTGTTCCAGTTAATAGAGGTTTGCTTTGAACTGTTGCCTTTGGGAAGAGGATTCCAGAAGGAAGGAGTTTTGAGCAGCCTTTTGCCTCGCAGGCATGACTGGATAATTGTGGTGAAGGGAGACTATCTGAGAGAAGTATTGCTGCCTGTCATGGCTAATAAATGACAGTAAGGAAACCATCTTTCACAGAACTGTTGGTAGAACTGCATTTAAAAGGCAAAATTTGTGAGTGAAATGATCCATTTCCCTGACACATTTTATGCTTTCCTAACTTTTTTTTTTTTAGGAGTCTGTCCTTAAAGACTTCTGAAGCCCAACAAGACCCAGCAACAAAAGTGATCTAATATATTAGCCATCTTTTCCTAAATTAAAAATGAAGCAAAATAAGAGAATAAACATAAAAACTGAGAAGAACTTATAAATAAAAATTTAGACGTGTATGCCCAAGTCATCTAAAGTTCCTGTGGGCCAGGTATAATTTTTGATCTTCCAATGTCCATATCTACCTGAGAATTAAAAATATTTAGGTTGAAGGACCCGAGGAATATAGGGAGGTGATTTTCCTATTGGTGATAGTGATAAGTTCGAATCTTTATAGTTCACTTTTTTTTTTAAACTAATGCCACTCTAAAAATGGTTGTTTCTGTAAATCATTAACCAGGAGGCCTGCCCAAGGCTCAGTGGAAGGACCAGACTCAAGGGGACAGTGCTTTGCAAACTTATCTCTTGACAGGGAATCATGGTGACTACATGGTGAGTTATAGGTTGCCAGCTGCAGAGGTGTAGGCAAAATAACTCCAGGCCCAGGATGTTTTGTGGCCACGATCACATTTACAGGAAAAGGCTTAACACGTTTAGAGTAGATTAGGACTGCCCCAGAATTCTGGAAAGACTTTTAGCTAGTCCTGTTTTCTTTCCAGAATTGTTGGAGGAGTCTAAAGCCATTTCATCATGAGAATATATAAATCTCCAAATAGTGCCTACCACGCATTGGATTCTCTGATAGTTCCTAGTGTAGAGTCAGAATAGATACAGATGGTTAGATACTAGAAATGTTAGCAGGACGAAGCCCAGCTTTGCCACCATTATTAAGCTAATGCTCTCCATGTACCTGAGCCATGCCCACGTGACCTGCACTTCATTTTCTCTGTGATCGCGTTTTCTACCTTTTATGTCCGTATACATGGAAGTAAGGCCAGTGGGTGGAGGCAGAGGCCAGAAGTGGATTTCTGCAGGAGCCAGGTACTCACTCCATTTCCAATGCCTCAGACATTACAAGATTCTAAAGGTCCTTCGTTAAATGAAAACAAGTTTAGTATTTCCAAAGAAAATTGGGGGTGGGGGGCTATGTTGATGACAGAAAGGTGTATATCTGCTCAGCACTCAGGAGTGGAATGCCTGTGTGGAACCTATGGGTCTACAGGCCTGGAGCTGAAAAAAGATGTGGCCCTTATGTTTGGTAGCCAACTGCTGTTTTTCTCTTGAGTACCATGTTCTCTTGAGTTCCAGTCCACACCATTGCTTGCCTGCTGCCACTTTCTTAAAAAAAAATTTTTTTTTAATTGTGGTAAAATATCCATAACATAAAATTTCCCATCTTAACCATTTTTAAGTTCAGTGCAACCACGTTGTGCAGCCATCACCACCATTTCTCTCCAAAACTCTGCATTTTGCAAAACTGAAACTCCATACCCATTAAACAATAACTCTCTCTTCCCCCTCCCCAGCACCTGGCAAACACCATTCTACTTTCTGCATGAACTTGACTACTCTAGGTACCTCACAGAAGTGGAATCATGCTGAATTTTCTCTTTGTGACTCAGCATAAGGTCCTCAAGGTTCTTAGATGTAGCATGTGTCAGAAATTGCTTCCTTTTGAAGGCTGAAGAATATCACTTTTTAGGTATATACTGCATTTTGTTTAACCATCCACTGATGGACAGTTGGCTTGTTTCCACTTTTGGCTGCCATTCTCTTTTGAATGTCCAATGTTCCTCAATAAGCTGGCGCCATCCTCTCAGCCCCTGACCATCTGCCTCCCTCCCTATACCAGTCACCTGTTCTCAAGCTGTTCTTACCTTCTTTTTAAAGCCAGCATTTCTAAGATTCTCTTAATGTGCTTCCTTCGACCACCCACAGGTTTCTATGCATCTTTCAGCATTAAGGTGGATCCTGCCCTCCCTATAGAGTCTCCCCAGACCTTCCTCCACTTGAAGTGACTTTTTCGTCTTTGAAATCCTGCAGTGTTTAATGTCAGTAACAGTCTTTTTGGCAAGGAATTGTGCACTATTTTATGACATCTCTTCTACTGTCTAAAACTTATTGAGATGTTTCATTTAACTTCACATTTATCTCTTCCTGCTCTAACTAGATTGTAAACTCCACGGGAGCCTCTGTGGTATCTGGTGGGTCTTTATACCCAGCTGTCTCTCATCCTCCCCATGTGTTTGCACAGGACCTTAGGCAGAAGGGTTTAATACATATTTCTAATATGTCCACTTAAAAGTTATGAACCAGATTGCACTTTAATTCAGTGAAGTAGCTGAGCAGGAGCCAGCTTCCTAAATTATTTTTTCCGTGCTGATTTCCTCATGAATGGCTTGGAAAAAATTGGCATATAGTATGTAAGAGAAAGAAATCTTCCTGTTCGCATCCAGGGTTAATGGGCACATTTATCTTTGAGAGAGAAGGGAGATTACTATTTAAATGTCTTATTTTTAACTTCTGTGTTTCAGTTAAAGCGTTCTTAAATATGGTTTTGAATTAGGAATTTGGCAATAATGTATACCTTTGGCAGAACACCCAGAGATGATGTTTTCATTGATATCCATTTGATTAGAGGATGCCTTGACCTTCTCAGGGCTTAAATCACTGTAGAATGCTTACTGTTGTAGTTTTTTATTTTGACTTTTGCTAATGAAAATTGTTACATCTTGGTTTTGTTAAAGACTTAAACATGCCATTTGGTCCAGGTTTTAAGTGGACACTTTGTTTTGGAGTTGCTTTCTCTGCACAGTGGCACATGGTGTGCAGTCTTCCGTATTTATTCTGCCTTTTCCCCATTTCCTGAATAAGCAGGCATCAGTAATGTATGCAGCTGGAAGTACCAGACACCTGACTGTCAGTGGTGAAACAGTATATTTTTCTCCTGTAATAAATACTGTGGTAAGAATTTGCTAGAGTTGGTTCAGTTATTCAATGATGTCAGCAAAGATCTAGGCTTTTCTCTTTATTTTCACTTGGCTATCATTAGCTTTGTGTCTTCAAGCTTGTTTTGTCAAGCTGCAGGAGTCCCCTTCATGTTAAGTGCAAGAGGACATTGGGGTAAGACTTCTCCCCTCTTGCCTGTCCCTCTGATCAGGAAAGCAGAAATTTTCCCAAAAGCCCCTAACAAATATTCTCTTCTTTGGTCACAGCTGGATCCCATGGCCACCCCTAGCTGCAAGGGAGGCTGGCAGGGTACTGGGCTTTCCAGGCTGTTACTAATGATATTGGCCACAGCATACTCCATGCTTGAAAAATTGTGTAACAGTCTAATTATGTAATTTCTACTCAGCTGCTTTTCACATCTTCAGTGTTAAAGTATTTGTTGAGTTGAAAAATGTTACCTGCTTCATAGGAGTTTTTGTGAACTTTACATTGACTTTCAAACTTCTGTATACAAAATCTTAGTTTTTTAGTTAGTCAGAGCTACAAAAGAGTAATATATATGAAGGGTCTTCAAAAAGTTCATGGAAAGATTCATGTTATCTTTTTTTTTTTTTTTTCCTTTTTGTCTTTTTTCGTGACCGGTAATGGGATCACAACCCTCGGTGTCGCGCCCGTACCAGGACCGGCAACGGAATCGCAACCCTCGGTGTCGCGCCCGCACCGCACTCAACCAGTGAGCGGACCGGTCTCTATATGGGATCAAAACCCTCGGCGCTCCTGCTACCGCGCTCCCAAGCGCCACACTCTACCAAGTGCGCCACCGGGCCTGCCCCATGTTATCTTTTAATGCCATTTTCCATGAGCTTTTAAAAATACCCTGATATATCCACAATCACACCATGTGAGGGAAAGTTACATCATGGCCTTCAGTGCCTAAATACTCTGTGTATTTCTTAAGGA